ACACACACACACAAATTACTGTAAAGCATAGCAAAAAAATGGAAATAACTTTAAAGTCAAATAAAGTGCACAAGCACAGGATATACAACAATTGTTTTAACTCTTTAAAGTGCTACAGATAAAACTTTAAGATGAGTACAAATATATATAAAAGGGTGACATTGCCAAACTTTAAATTTTAGTTTGACAACAATACAATTTCATCTTTCTAGTCTCACCGTCCTCTGCCACATCCCCCCCACCCCTTACCATGCCAACCCTCTTGCAAATCCACGCTCCCTCCATCTTTTATGATCACTACAAGGGGCTCAGCTTTCAGGAGCGGTCCATGGAGCATGTGTGTAGAGCTTTAATTCCTATTGTATTCGTGCAGTCTTGGTGTGTGTGAGTGTGTCTGTGTTTTAGCGAAGGAGGGAGAGGGAGATAGAGATGAAGAAAAAGACAGAAACAAGGACCCATCTGTCAGCACAGCGCATGAATCCCTCCCATTCCACTCTGAGTCCCAGGGGACAAGAGCGAGAGACAACTCACTTGTGGCAGTGTTTTTTGTAAGGAAGGGGGTTACCCCCTTTAATAGCAACAGCAGCACTTAAGTAGATAATCTTTTGGCCAAAAACTTGATTTGGACAGCTCATGCCTAAATTCAATATGCGTCTTAGCTGCAAAAGTAAAAACTAAATACCCACAAAATGATCTTACAAATCTTTTCCTATATCGTAGGGACACACTTAAGTCGGTGATGGACTGCATAACTGTTAATTTGTTAAATAAATATTTTGAGTATCCCTGTTAAAATCATGCAAACTCATCAAAAGTTAGTTCAGATCAGATGTGTCCACCATGACCTCTTTCAGAAGGCTGGCTATCTATGTTACTGCTTAAACGGGAGCAGGACACAATTCCCTCTCCGTTAGTCAGTCATTTGGGAAACCGATGGGGATTGTGGGAGACTGCCAGGCTCCAATTCCCCGTGCAGGCTGCAGGTGTGGTGGAGGCCATGCTCACACTCATGGGACAGAAGGGTAGTGTATGTGTTTGGGGGGTAGGGGTGCATGTACCTGGGGAGCTTTGGCACATCACCTATAGTCTAGAGTTGTTGCTGAGCACACACTCATGCAATGTTTGGTTCATATGAGGCAACACACACACACACACAGTCCACATGCCTTTATGGCCAGTGCACTGACCAGCAGTGATTAGGGCCGTTAGCGAGGTGGATAAATGCTGTTTCAGCACGAGACATCATCTTGGCCAAGCGGTGACGCGTGAGCACCCAAGCAACAGATGCCCCCACCCCCAACGCTTCCTATACCCAGCCATCTGTTAGGGTCTGTTCAATAAATCGTTGGATAAGTGCCTGTTTTTACGCGATGTTGCCGATTAGTCACGTGACCAGATCTTATTTCGAAGACGCTGAATATATATGGCACACCCAAGAACACGGAGAGCCCACGGTGCAGTTGGCAAAGTTCAGGCTCTCTCAGTCTCGGGGACAGCTGTGCGCAGTCGCGCGCACAATGGGATCAATGCGGGGGCACGTGCGACTCGCGAGACCCCGGCTGTCAGTGGCCAATGATGACAATAGACCCCCACTGAGCTGCGGCTCGCCACGCACGAGGACTGGCGGGCGTTTATTATGCCGAGGCATTTGTAGTCAAAACCGGGAAAAACGTTCAATATTGAGATACGATTAGTGTAGATAATAAATAAAGGCCATAGAGTCGTTTGGAGACCTTCACAGGTTGCGTTGAAAAGTCAAGTCGTATAGTTGTTAGACACAGAGTTATGGTTGATGCACTTTTATCATTCAAAAACAAACAAATAAAAAGATAAACTACTAACAGAAATTCCTTAGCCTAACCCTGTCTTTACAATATCTTGCATAGGTCAGTTGCTTTATAAATAGTATTAAAAGTACTTCTACAACTTGTCTTGCCTTTAAGCGTACCATACCTGTCTGTCCATCAATGCACCAATCGATTCAATAATCAGATAGCTGTTGGGGGCAGAATATGACGCTAAACATTGAGGAAAACAATTGAATGACTGAGTGAACAACGCACACACCTGCTCTCTGCACACTAGCTGTCAAAATCACTTAAATACGCACACATGGAAGAGCGTCTCTTTACTCAGCGAAGACCAGGCCTACACTGTGTTTAATTAAGTGGAAAATTCCTAATCCAACCGACTAATGAAGAGATAGACAATCGATTAAGATGGTTAACACAGCGGCATTAAAACAGAACAGTGGATTTTTTTTTTTTTTTTTTGGGATTACCGCCACATTTCCAAGTGTGAGGATGTATAATGTCGCCTTTAGGAACATGTAGGCTATTATGTAAAACTTAAAATGATCCCGATTGGGACAATACCGATATCTGTGACCAATCAGAGGGTAAAGAAAGGTTGATGGGTTTACAAATAATGACTGGTGATATGACGAGGACATAACTATTCCTCCAATAAAAGTTATAAAAAAAGTTTAAATTAAATTTGTATTTTGGTAGATAATAAGTGTGAGATGCGGTTTAGCAAATTGGCCTTTGTGCCGGAGAATAATCTGTGACTGATGAAATGGCAAGTCCCGTGGGTGTGGGTAGATATGTGCATCCAGCTTCAATGTAACATCAGATATGTTCCCTTTATAGCCCACCTGCAGTTCTCAATATATGTATGTATGATGCCCATATTTAAGATCTAAGAGTTTTCCAATGTGCATTTTCTGCACTGACCCGTCAGACTCTCTCAGTGTTTCAGTGCCTCCTCCTTTACAAATAAAACACCGTCTACACGTGCACCCAGGCGCGCGCTCTCTCTGTTCCCCCCACTCATTTACTGGGTGAAACTTCTGGCCACGAGCCCGCCACGCGCGTTTGGATGAGTGGGTGGGGCGCGTGAGGGAGGGGCCTACACGGTTAAATGCAAAAAAGCAGCCAGTTCGTGCCATTTGGAGATGAATGTTCCACGCGCACTGATGGCTATCTGAGGGAGCAGAAGAGTTTGGGACATTGGTGGATAAACGAAGATAGAAACTCAGCGAATCTGGACTAATCACTCACTTGTTGTTCTATTTTTTTTTAAATTAGCCAGATTTGTCTGTTAATTTGCGCAGAGCGAGCAGTGAATCCAAGCAGGTGAGTTTGCAGATTTGTTCATTATCAGTCCAGTATATTAATAGCTAAAACAAAATAGGTCTTGTTAGTGAATCAAATCTGGGCAACTTAATTCAACACATGCATTACTGGCGCACTTGTGTTTCCTCCAAATTACAGAAAAAAAATCCACTTAAGCTCATTTAAAAAAATGTGTTTCAACAAAGTCTGATATTTGCAGTACTCTTGTAATTATGCTCATTGGCAGACTATATAGTCCAGACACAGTTGCGTGTCTAAAGTTCTGAATTCATAAATTACAGTAATCCACTTTTACGCACCAGTGCACAATAATTAACTGGGACAGTTTATAATTTTCAAAACAATAGTAAACAAATGTTCTGTCCAAGTTTCACTTTTCTAAAAATAACAATGTGTTGCTTTAGGTCCTTATAACGGTTTCCAACTTATGCATTTATTCGGGGTGTCTAGTTTATTAAACAACACCCCTTAGACATCCAGTCGTCTGCACCGTTATAAACAGTAGGCTATGTGGGCGGCTTGTCCACATGTGTGTTGAGTTGTATGTTGCCTATTTAATCTTTGAGCTTTATATGCCGAGTAAATCCCGTAGTGTCCCAGATTGACAGCGTCTCTGTAGCCTACAGCATAACAGCAGGAGACCATTCAACCACATTCTAAAAACAGCCATCTATTCCTTAATATCATCATATATTAATATCAGTATGATAATATGAAAGGCAATAGTTACAGGGATTCTCTTTCAAATAACTTTAGCATGTTGTAGGATCCACCAGTCACCAGATCTTGAATAAGATGGGTGAGCTGTTCACACTGCAGTGCTGAAATGAGATCACTCATTCTGTATTTCATGGGACATGAGTTACCAGTCATCAGTAATACAAAACAATACAAGACTTAATCATTATATGTATCATCATTGTGCATTGCCATGCTTGAGGTTGTATCGGTTGATTGAAGGATTTTTTTGTGCTGTGTTTCTTCAGATCATAATGATGACAAAACCATTTGGAAAGACTGGGGATGTGAGTGAGCTGGTGAGCTCCCTCGGCTGGCTGGAGGAGGAGGACGGCAGCTCTCAGGATGGAGAGGAAAGCCCAGAGATGAGGGGACGCCATGGCTTGACTGTAGGGAACCGAATCCTCTCCTGCACAGAACTGGGCAGTGAGGATATGGAGGAAGAAGAGGAAGATGATGAGGAGGAGATGGGAGAAAATGGTGAAAATGCTCCCAAGAGGAGAGGCCCCAAGAAGAAGAAGATGACCAAAGCTAGACAGGAGAGATTTCGTGCCCGGCGAGTCAAGGCCAATGCCAGAGAACGTTCACGTATGCACGGGCTGAATGATGCCCTGGAAAGTCTGCGTAGAGTGATGCCCTGCTACTCCAAGACACAGAAGCTGTCAAAGATTGAGACTCTACGGCTGGCCCGCAACTACATCTGGGCTCTGTCAGAGGTGCTTGAGAGTGGCCAGTCCACAGAGAGCCATGGCTTTGTGGAGATGCTGTGTAAGGGTCTGTCGCAGCCCACCAGTAACCTCGTAGCCGGCTGCTTGCAGCTGGAACCCAGTCCGATGATGCTCAACAAGCTGGAGGACAAGTGTGGAGGCCCAGGGGTCGGTGGTGTGGGGGGTCAGGCTGGCCATCCCCTCAGCTACCCATCTCCAGGCCTTCCCAGCCCTCCCTATGGCTCCCTGGAGGCTTCACACCTCCTCCATATGAAGGGATTCAAGGGGCCTGTGTATGACAACCCCTCCCCTAACGAGTGCAGCAGTGGCACCCCACCATACGATGGGCCCCTCACTCCCCCTCTGAGCATCAGTGGCAACTTTGCCCTGAAGCAAGAGCCTTCTCCCCAGGAGTCAGAGAGGAACTACACATCCCACCCTGGTCACCATGCCCACTACCTCTCCTCCCACCATTACCCCACTTCCATGACTGGCGGCCTACCAGGGGGGCCTCAGGGCCACCCACTTTTTCAGGCTTCACGCTATGAGCTGCCCCTGGATGTGGCCTTTGACTCCTTCACTCCCTCTCACATGATCAACTCTCAGATGGGCACTATCTGAAATGTGACCATGAACAGTTGAGAGAACCAGTGATTGACTCTGCTATGAAACTGGCCTGGAGAGAAACACTGCCCTCGAATAAACTGCTGTAAAAATGATGACCGTGGTACTGACTGTATAGAGAAAATGGTTTGCATTTAAGTTGTCTAGTACTCTGGGAGAGCACTGAACTCAGAGAGACTCAACACCTCAACTCAATCTACCTGATACAAACACGCACCCATAACTTTTAATATTTTATTTATTCTTTTTTTGTCATGATTATATGTTGTATTTGGATTATAGTTTTTTCTAAAGAAGTTGACCACTTGGTTGTTACAGTGACTTAAGATTATTTTACCAATTTAGATATTCATACTGAAGCATTACACAGGTTTCTGTGTAAGTGTAGGGATCGATAAAAAAAAAATCTGCATATAAACATTTTTTCAAAGTGATCAAAAAGTCAACTGACCTAAATTTAAATTGTGCACTGAGGCCTACAACCAATGTCCCCCCATGCCATAAGAAAAAGCAATGCATTTATTTATATCTGTATTTAATATTTATTTTGATAACGTCTTGTCCTTTTATATTTTTCTCAGCACAGTTTTTGTTTCACTGTCTTCTTGGTTTGTTGTCAGACACTGGCAGCTGTACTGTATTTAAATTATTTATTTGAGGTCTTTCAGGTACTTGTTCATTTGGTGTCACAATTTTTGTCATACTGTACTGTTGTAAATATTTTGCTGTTTCGCACTTAATTGAATAAATATTCTTATATTATATGCTATTTCAATAGTAACAATATTTGCCATGTGTTTTCTTCTGCTATGCTGCCATCCTTTACATTCAACAAAAGGTTCATGTCTTCCAATATAGTAGAGGATACCCATATGCAGCATTATCACATTGCACTTGCCAGAAGACTAGTCAGAAGAGTAATTATTTTCCGCAATTGTGCAACAAGATCCAAATCAAGTAAATTAAGTTCCAATTATTGGACCTATTTTAACAGGAGAATCAATGTCAGCTCACATATCACACTCGCCCCTAATGTTTTCAAAATAATTCACATAATATGGCAGTGATTATCTGCAGTTCTCCAACAAGTAGTGTAAGAACATCTCTCAGTACTTTGATATGAAGGCATATCGTTATATGAAAAAAACTAATATATAAACAGAACAAGTAGAAGCTGAAAATGAAATCTCCAACTAAAGAATATGAATGTTAAGAGGCTCTGTTTCATTTAACATTGACATGGGTGCACTGATATCAAAACCTAAGGAAATTTAAAGACTTGATGGAATAAAACAGTACTTTGTGGCCGAGCAGTAGAGATGTGTTGCAGGATGTGTTTGTGTGTATGATGTCATTTAGAGGCTTGCTCCACGGTGTCTATCAGGTCAGGCAGCCGGCTGTTGTAGGCCATGGGAAAACAGCTCTGGGGAACAGGTGAATATGTCACAGAGTCTCTGCCATTCACACTCACTCTCCCACACGTCCCATTTTCCCATACAGCTCATGCCAAAACACTGTGGGACAAGAGCTCATTTTTAAGTCGTTAAGTCAAACAGAGAAAATCACCAGATTTCTGCTCAGAGATGTTATAAATTAATTGATCTGATAGTTTTGACCATAATCCAACCTCAACACACAGCACATATCAAAAATCTTTTTTTTTTACTTGAAAGTTCAGCAATAAAATATCCAGTATTTTGATCCGTATTTCCAAATCGGCTCAACCTGGCAAGGTTCCTAACATTTATATCACTCAACTAATGACAAAAGTCTCAGTTTTGACTTTAATGATGGTGTTAAAGGGCATGATGGCTCTTGAAATAGACAAAGAACTGGGTGGCAGAGTGTAAAGATGTAAAGAGGTGAGAGCAAGAGTTGGTGTGTTCAAGTGTGTTTATCATTGTGGTCCTTTAGGCAATTGTAAGAAGGGGAATGTGCCTCAGAGGCTGTTGTCCAAGAGGACTTCCCCCCTCTTCAGCTACCTCTCCAAAGGTTTGTCTTTTCCAGTCCTGGCAACAGTGGAGAAAGGGTGGAGAAGAAAAAGGGAACGATTGTTTTACTGGGCGCCACTGGTCCATTGTGAACGCAGCCTGTTCTTTCTCTTGACCTGTGACCTGTATTGTTGTGGGGCTTCTCGTTTGGGGAGGGCAGACAGCTGGGGGAACTGCGGGAGGGCTGATGGACAGCTGGGCCAATTTGGGGAGAGAGAGGAGAGTGAGAGAGGAGAGTGAGAGCATGTAAGAGAGGGATGAGAGAGGGAAAGAGAAAGGGGAATTAGTGTGCTGGGGGCTGTAAAGGAGAAGAGGAAAGAGGAGGAGAGGGCAAGAGAGGTGACTGAGGTCCTTGCTACTCATTCAGAAATTTGTCCTCTGCTCCTGTGTGTCAGCATTGGCATAGGAATGACACATTGCTTTACACTCGGGCAGACATTTGGCCTGTGAGAAAGTACTGGCAGAGTTAGCTGGCGCTCATTGTGTCTTTGCTGTTTTGTTACAGCAAAAACGGTGGGGGGCAGGGTATGTGGATTATCCTCCTGAGTCCAAATACATGAGTGGATGGATATGGAAATAATCCACGTAAATTAACTTTGGATACAAGATTACAAAAATGCAGGACAGTCTCTGGAGATTGGAGAGGTAGTTTGATAGTCACACGGAACAATTTAGGAAGATATAGAAAATATATTTATATATAGCTTAAATACTTTTTAGGCTTAGTATTTTGTATTCAACTTGTAGTTCATTGGTGCAAAGACATATTTATCATGTTTGAATGAATATTAAATACTAAACAAAACAGGTTGAGCGTATCAAGTGGCTCCTATCTATGATATGGGCATGAGAGTCTCTTAATAGGAGGGGAGCACATGTCTGCAATGCCATCTTGGCCGAGGCAACAGGGAGCAGAGTATGACCTGTAGCTCAATCCCCTGGGGCAGTGAGGTCATGTCAGATATCTAGTGGTTGAATATGTATTTATATCCCTTACTTTAGCAAAAAAAAAAAATACCAATGTACAATAAAATGTAAAAATACAACATAAAAAAAGTTAAGAGCCCTACATTCAAAATCTTCTTTCACAACATATACTTAAAGTAACAAAAGTGAAAGTATTTGTTCTGCAGAAAAATGTCCCTTGACTTGCATATATTAACTGATTGCATTGGTGTGCAAGCAGCACACTACTGCTGTAGCAGCAACAGCAGCTGGAGCCAGTTTTAACTACTTTATATGCAGTTATGTAGTTTAGTCCAGTGGTTCCCAACATTAATTGGGTTAGAAAAAAATCAAGTAAAACTCTGAATAAATTTTGGGACTTTTCACTAATCTTTGCTTTTTGTTAAGTTAATTCATTTTGACCCAGGAAGTTGGCATCGTGACAAAAAACAAACAAAAAACAAAATAAAACAAAAACTGATCTAACAGAGATAGCTTGCTAACTTTCCTTCTCACTCACGTGCATATATTCTAGTTTATGTGTGCAGCACATTTAATCTACTGGCCAAACAAGAGTGGCTCCCACTAAAATGAAAAGGTCCTGATCCATAGGAGCTAGATAGAGGGATAAAGCATTGTGATTAAGATTGTATTAATGGGGCCATAGGAGGCTGGAAGGCTTTAATCAGTGTCTGTGTGCCGGTAATCCCTTTGCCTTTAAGCTGGGGGGAACACAGTGATCCCCCTCCTCTTGGGCCACAGTACGCATGCACACACACGCACACACACACGCCTCTGTGGGGAGCATGGGGATATGAGTGCCCAGGTTGAGAGGTGGAGCACCCCGAAAAAGAGCCGCCCTAGACTTAGAGGAGCAGCTGGTAGAAGAAAGACCGAGGAGATGGATGGTGAAAGAGATGTGGGAAAAACGGAGAAAAACAATGAAAGGTGGCAAGGCTGGCGTTATGAGAAGATATAGGGATTGGAGGAGGGGGGAATTAAAATGACGATGGGTTGGTCATGGTCAACATGGTTCAAGCAATTAAATATAAATAAGCAAAACTTTAACTTTTCTTGACCCTGGTTCTTTCTATCACACCAGACTAACATTTATGGACTGAACTCTTGTGAAACATTAATAAAATTAATTCCAACATTAATAAATATCCAAGGATTGTTCTCTACATCAACATCTTTTAATAAAAACACCACAGTTCCACCTATGAAATATTTAAAGTTAAAAAAAATGATGTTAATATAGTCAGAGAAAAATAGCAGCTTGTCCCACCCATGCAAGAAAAAAAGAAAAGAAGGAGATGTACATGGGAGGGGAGGAAGAGGGCAGCTCGCGGACTCATTACCTATGGGAGTGGATGTAAAAGGTGACATTGTGTGCATGAGGATAAGGGGTGGGCCTTCTCCTCCCAGAGTTCTCTGAGAGTATTAGGGTGTAGGAGTTAAAGAGCTTCTAATGGGATCTGGATGCTGTCGTGTTTACCCTGCCCCCCCCCCTTCCTGCACGCCCACTGCATTGTGGAAGTTGCTGGGCTTTGGGACACCACAATGGGCTGAGTGTAGGGACAGATGGAGGTCCCTTTCGAAGAGGGCACAAAAAAACAGCCAAGGTAGGAGGGCCATGGTGTCTGAGAGAGTGAGCAGCCAGCATGCCCTACTGCCAGGGACGTGGGAGAACATTAGAGGTGGAGAAGGGAGAAGAAAACCTGAAAAGGGATTTTAGATTTGTCCTAATTATAATGCAAGGAAGAGTGTAACTTGGAGTGTCCCTTTGCTCTGGTAATCTATAAATTCAGCGTCACCTAGATACATTCACAAGGCTTTGGTTCAGGATCACTGTGCAGTGTAGGCCTCTGTCAGTTGGCCTGTCAACATGCCAGCCTTTATAATCATTTATCCTGCTTTGTATATTCTCACAAGCACACAGAGTGGAACAAGTCAGCAAAGCTAAAAGCACAGCAAGAAAGATGTAACATGTTTAAATCCTTAATGCTCAGATGTGATATTTTCGATCATTTAGCCTTTGTGTATTCAGGGTTAAACCAG